CTTTTATTTTCCAATAAAGATGAGTTGTCAGATTAGGGCTAGGCGATAGGATGATATAAAATGATTCTCTTTAGAAAAGTAAGCCTCATTATTTAAGGCATCATTCATGCCACAATCAGTGTGCGGTGAATTATGTGCTAAAGTTTAATATGTAGGGTTAGGGTTGCCCTAGTAATAATATCACAGCTGAACATATTTCCATCCAGTCAAATCCCGATGGATAAAATTCGGTTCTGCTTTAGCAACTCAAACCCTTTTTAAGTGATAATGTCATAATCATGATTCTATAGACCTTATGCGCCAGAGAAACGAGGGCGCCGTCATCTTTAAAATATTGTCTTTGAACTTCCGTTTTTGCGGTCGCTCTGTATATCTCTATGGCATCGCTGTCCAGGAGTAACTAGCTTTTAAAGTGGATTTACTTAATGTAGAGTTAATGAAAGTTATCATGAGGATTGTAATGTTTAATGCAGATGTCTTAACAAAGTTCAGTCGACCGGGAAGATTTTAAAACGAGCAGTTCATTCATAAATACAAACCGGAAGTCAAAAGACAACAAGCGCAGCGCTGAAAAGGGGCGGGGCTACATGAGCTCTATAGGCGGCTTCAGTTACTGTACCTGTAATATTTATTCACCAGTATTATGATTCTCTCCGTGAGGCTCTCTTCAGATAAACTCATATCTGACCGCTGTCTTTAAAGCGTTAAGAGTCCTGCGACCCGCTTGTAAGGTATTGATAAAGTTAACACAAAACATGCTGCTCATCTGTTTATCTACAAAGAGTTGAGTTTGTCTTTTCACTGCAGGAGGAGGCGAAGGGAAAATGCTGATGCGTCCTTTACATGCTAATCGCTCTGTGTGTCTCTTTTTCTGTCTGATATCAACGTGATGATGGCTCCCCGTTTCCACGTTCTTATGTTTTGCTCTGTTTTACTGTTTCATCAGCAATTATTGAATCCCTGATTGTTCAGCTGTGTATAATTATGAAAAAATAATTGTAAAACAGATGTGAGTGTTTCTCCAACTCTAGCACTTTTGGCCCTGTGGATGTTAGAAAATAAACTTGCACTTTCACTAGTTTATTTCATTTGCCTACTACTAATGTGCGAGTGCGACATCAATTTTTATTTTATTTTTATTTCCATCATTTCATCATTGGTGGTGGAAATGACATTTGAAACATTTGTGTCCAACTCTTTTTTTCTTTTTCTTGCTAAGAGTAATTTAATAATTGTGTGTATCCTGAATATACACGATTAAATATTTAAAGTTTTGCATATTTTGACAAAATTACAGCCTAACTGGAAATGATGCACAATAAAACATTCTGTTATAATTTAAATATTCTGATAAACTAAATATGATAATTAAAAAGTGATGTACCTTGATATTTCTCAAACTATTTTGTCTACCTTTGATAAAACACGATTAGGGTTAGTATTGTTGGTTGCGGTGAAAATAACAATTTTGTGTAAAAACTTTTTCAGCATTTATTGTGTGAAAAAAATCTAAATATATTTTTTTAATATTTTCTACAGTTTATTTCATTATTTGACCATAGTTATAATTTAAAATCATGTTTGTATGGTGAATTTTCATGTATTAAGATTGAGAATGTATCACGGACAAAGTTAAAACTATAAAATCAGTATATAAAATACATTTGAGTATTAAAAATAAAATGACAGTGGCATTCATATGACAACTTTCAGGGCATAAAATTGCTTGAAGTTGAAGAAACACCTGCAAATGAACTATATATATATATGCTATTGTGTGTGTGTGTGTGTGTGTGTACAACTATCTTTTTGGGGACCGGTTTGAGTTTTAGACCATCGGAGTAAGGACAAAGAGAGTAAAGTCAGGACATTTTGGCTGGTCCTCAGTTTCTGAGAGCCTTTAAAGGCCTGTTTGAGGGTCAAGACTTGGTTTTAGGGATCAGGTTATAATTAGGTTTAGGGTCAGGGTTCAAGTTAGGCTTTTAGTTGTGATGGGTTTGGGTAAGGAGCTAGAGATTGCAGTCAATGAATGTCTTCATAAAGATAGATAGCACAAGAATGAGTGTGTGTGTGTGGGGGGGGGGGGGGGGGGGTGTGAGCAGGGGCGTAGCCATCATTTCAAAAGTGAGGGGGACAGAATCATGTCAAGTTTTTTTCTTCAGACTTTTGTTGACAGGTTTTTGCTTAATTGGTTTAATATGCAATTTATTTTTAAAGCAATAAAACAGAAAGAAAGAAATGCAGATGTTCAGTAGGCTACTTTATATTGCACATGCAGGGTTTTTGGTTGAAAACGAGGCGGAGGTGGTAAAATCCCGACCATGTATTTAAATTAGATAATAAAATGTTTATTTTTCGTAGATCACCATATAGCCTACTGTGTTACCCACATTATTTTTGTAGGTGTATCTCAGTAGGCCTACTTCTAGGGGGGTCCGGGGGCATGCCCCCCCGGAAGAAAATTTTGTAATTTTTAAAGATAAATTCATTAATCTGGTGCACTTTGAGTCCCCCGAATCCACTGTTAAAAATAAATAATCCACCCGTCAACCGCCCAAACATATGATATTCTCTGATTTATATTTGAAAAATCGCATTACAATTATTAAAATTATCAGTGTTAAACATGATAATATGGTTAAATATCACACTGAAGTAGACTGATTTGAAAATAACATTTAGGTTACTTAGAATAAAAGTTCTTCTTTTGGCAAAATTAAATTTCCTTAAAAGCCTAAACAATGTCTGTCTTACTAAACTTTCCAATAGGCTGTCGAGTCACGTGACCAAGCCGGAAAACAGATCACATCGCTTCCGATTCAGGTCTTTTGTATGTGCTTCATGACATTTTTTGCGGTTTTATTCAAGATAACTTAAAAGGAGCAAGCAAAAATGAGCATAACCAATGTCCCTCGCATGTGCAGATTGATATTTAAAAGTTTTTTTAATTTTTCTTCTTCACACTAACGTTTAGATATTTAAATAGCATAAAACACCAATAACAAAGTGAACTTAGTAGGTTAGCTGATTACCTTAAAAATCCATAGATATCGTAGTTAGTTCTTACAGCCGTTAACCGTTCTCTGACAAGCGGATGCAATGAGACCCGTTTTCCGGTTTGGTCACGTGACGCTCGGCATAAAGCCTATTGAAAACCTTCAAACTTCAAGCTTTTAAAACTTTCTAGTTAGGCTTTTTCAAGAGAACTTAAAGTTTGTCTATAACTTTTTTATCTAAATGTAAAGTGTTACCGAATTATGGTAAACATCATGTAAATGTTACAACGCTGCCTGATTCAAGCAGATCGTGGCTGTTATTGCATGAAAATACAAATTCAGCATTAACAATCACCATGTTTATTCTAATTTGAAGGGCTTTGATAACATATCTGTGAAAATAAAAGACATTACGAATAAAAAAAGATTGAAAATAGTGCACGTTTTTGCGGGTAGTGAATATTTTCAATTTACAACAAAACTTCTTAATTCAACCAGAGAAATAGGCAGAGTTATTGATCATTGTGCAACACAATTCGGATACCACATGACAACTTACTTGCAGTGCTTGACTTTTTCGTGAAAAACGAGTGAAGAGTTTTTGCCGTTTTGAACTGATACTGATGGATTCGGCGCGGGTGCGAGCATGGGCGTGTCGTAGGCTAATGCACGAGTGAATGATTACCATGGAAACGTGAAAGTCACGTATGTAGATAGACTATCCTTGACTCTTTAGATTTTAAATCTCGATGAAGGCTACACACACCCGCGAAAACCTCAGCTTGTTGTATACACACTTGCCCTATGAAAAAGTGCGGGGGACGAATTTACATTTTATAAAAAGTGGGGGACACGTCCCCCCCGTCCCCCGCGTAATCTACGCCCATGGGTGTGAGTGTGTTTGTGTGTGAGAAATTTCAGTATTAAAGCTGCAGTCCACAGTTTTTCCTCTTTGTCACCATTTCTGTTCGAAATCTGCAATTGCAGTCATTCGCGGAATTATCAACTTTACGTGAGTTGTACCTCGGCACGACACAGCGCGGATTAATCCAATGTTTTGAGGAGAGTGTGCAGCTGTCAATCACTGGATACTGTCATTCAGAATCACAGATTCTACTTTTTGGGAGTATGACCAACATAATAATTTTCACCCAAATGTAATCTGAAGTAACATCCACTTTTGTTCTTCTGACCAACTAAAAACCATTGCAGTAAATCTCGCTGATTAAATCTTACGATCGATTATCATATCACGTCAAACCGTGCAATTGATACTTTGTTCTCAAATTGTTAATGTTCAACATCAGCATTCTGCATTGCGTGACTACATTTAAAGCCCTTCCGATATTTATCCTTGTTTTCGCATGGGCCGGTTGCAGTCTCTTTTTCCAAACTCTCAGTCCAAAGTCTTTTGCATTTTACACCAGGTGAGTCTCCAATTGTCACTGGTGATTGTCGTTTGAACCTTTCTGGATCCGCCATCAAATTAATAAGTTTAATCATATCAAGTGCTGGGAGAAAAGGCTATAAATCTCCACCTCCAGCATCCTCACACGCGATAGCTTATACTATCAGATACAGTGTACAGATGTGACGTAATGACGCAAAGACATGCTCGAATCTCCCGCGGAAATCCACCAGTACCACTGAAACATTATTACAAGCTTACCGTTTTGAATCGAGCTAAGGCAAGCAGATAGTTTTGAACACTGGCTGGTTATGTATTTGCTCAAATTTATTTTGGATAATTTTTAACCCAAAAAAGTTACGGACTGCAGCTTTAAAAATAAAATGATAGAATTCACACAACATAAAATTATTTATTTCTGTTTAGTGTTAATAAAAATCAACCTTCAGGACATAAAAGCGCTTGCAGTTGAAGAAACATGTTCCCGGGAGACATTGTGTGTGTGTGTGTGCGTTCACCAAAATAACATGCTTTTTTTTTCCATAACAAAGTTAAACATTTTATTTCTTTGTCTGTTTCCACGATTGGCAACTTCCTCAGATCTGGCAGCTCTTGAGTTTTGCACCGCGCGGCTCTTAAGGGAAGGTCTGTTGTCTGGTTTCTAAAAGCGTCCGACTCGGAGCGTCTCTGCGTTCTCAGGTAGTTCTTCTGGGAGGCTCGCGGCTCACCTGATGTTGTTAACAGGCCATCTGTTACACGTTCCCCATCCGAATCCCCTGCAAGAACAATCATAAGAGCCTTCGCCCGCCGTAAATAACACACCTCTCGGTTATGTGTTTTTAGCGCCGTCGTATTCATGCCCCGCGGTCATATGGATGCTTTCCGTTTCTGCATCAGCTTACTGGAGGAAAAGCGGGTAAAGTCAAAGTTAGTCCCTCCAGAGGAGCGTGTGCATGTACTGTCACTCAAAGGCGTCTCTGAATCGGTCTCACCTGGAGAGGCTGTTGCCAGGGGCGTCGCCGTAAGACACGCGCCGCGGGTGCGCGCTCTACCTCTGCCTGTGTTTTTGTACCCATAATCCCCCTGCGCCCCCCTCCACACCTCTCCCTCCACCAGTACCCTCCCCCCTCCACACCTCTCCCTCCACCAGTACCCCTGAGGCAGTGTCTTGCTCTTTTCATGTCAGTCGAGAGCCCTGGATCTTCAGGAAATCTCTGCGTGTAGACCAAAACGGGCTCTGTTTGAGAGGACCGAACTTTAGCCGGCTCTGAAGACGCCTTTGTCATGAAAGACCCTGTAAACCTGCCGCTTTCTCTAATGAATGCTAGTGCTATTGCGCGGGCTAGTGGTGACCAGCGGTACTGCGCCACACTTCAGCAGGTGAACTTATTTACTCATCTTTAAACCTGAAAGCCTGGCTGACTTCACACAGTGTTCATAAACGCTTTGAAAGTAACCATCCAGACCACTTTAATCATACAGTTTTAAAGTGCAGGCTCCAAATAGGACAAAAAAAAAGCTAATTTAAAGTGTTTTAAAAGTAGTTCATATGACTCTTGCGCTATATTCCAAGTTTTCTGAAGTCATTTGATGCTTTGTTTGAGGAACACACAAGTTTAAGACATCATTCCCTGGTAATCTTCCTCCGTAGGCTAGCGCTCAAATAATTTGGGTTTAATATGGCATTTGGCATCACTGATCTCAAACAGGGTTTATGTCCCCATTCTGAATGAAAATATTACATTTGAGAGCTGTGAATCAGCGAATTACGGCTTAAATTTGGGCTTTAACTTTAGTTTTGCATACTTTCAGGCTCAAAAAAGGACAAAAAAAGTCACCATTAAATTGTTATAAAAGTAGTTCATACGAATCTTGCATTATATTCCACATTTTCTGAAGTCATTTGATGGTGGTTTGATGAACAGACCAATAGTTAAATAGTAATAATAATCACAATAAAATGAATATATAAAATACATTTGAGTATTAAAAATAAAAATCACAGTGACATAAATGTCTGATTCCTTTGTGTTGCATTTGCTTATATCATTGTCAAACGTGGTGTTAATGTGCGCATTTTGAATGAAAACATGATTTGAGATCTGTGGATCAGTGAATTACGACTTAAATCAGGTTCTGTTCTTCACACAAACTTGGCATGTGATTTGGAATAGAGTGCATGAATCATATTAACCTCTTTTTGGTGCTTTTATGATGTTTTTTTGGTAATTTTTTGGAGCCTGACAGTGTGCATCTTCATTCAACGTTGATCAGCATCTCCTTTTGTGCTCAAAAAATTCAAGTCATACAGGTCTGGAAAGGCACGATGGCCAGTAAATGCTTGTGAACTATTGCTTTAACCATTCAAGAATTCAAAGTTCATGACAGTTTGAGATGTAATTTATCATCTGTGTATTGAAACGCTTACAGCGGGATGTATTTGTCTCCCTGGTAGTTCCCTCACGCATCTGTAAGCCTCTTTATGTCACTGTTTTCATGGAAGAGTGACAGTATTTTGTGTAGTTCATTATTTTCCTGCAGACTGAAGGTGAAACTCACATGAAATACTGTAGTTTTGCACCCTTAAAAAATAACATGCTTAGACTTACCTTTTCATCTAGAAAATAAAGAAACATTGTATTCTGGTTGTTTATGGTCCTGAGGTCCTCCGGGACCGTGTCACATGTTTCATTAGTAGTTCACACTTTGGGTGTCTTATTGTTGAAGATGTGATACTTTCAGGGTATTTTTCGCTAGAGATCCGTGTGTGTTTGTGTGTGTGTGTGTGTGTGTGTGTGAGAGAGAGAGAGAGAGAGAGAGATCTCTGTGGGCCGCTAGAGATTATGTACTGATGATTTGTAAGAGCAGTAATAAACACAAAGCCCAGGAGATGTTTGAGATGTTTAATAATGCATTATGTTCATAAAAGTGCTGCCCGGCCAATGAGTCCCTATAGAGAACAAGCCCACCGGGAGAAAACTGAAGTGTGTGTGTGTTTGAGAAGGTGAATATATAAGGCTTCACGTGTCTCAGAGCATCTTACAGTACACTATATCCTCTTGACAGACCGTCATGGAAATAATGGCATTTTTAAGTGCCTTGCCTAATGAAATAATGGTAAATTATATGAAGTAATTATAGAGTTTGTGTGCATGGAAATGTGACTGAATACAGTTGCCTCGAAAAGTATTTGGACGTATACAAATGCCTTTGCATTAAATATCAAAATATAAAACAAGTGTAATTTACTCTAAATTCTAAACGTCCTTAAAACAAGCAAAATTATGTCAGATGGATTTGTTTTAAGAGATTATGTTTTGAATTAAGCTTATTTTTCTCAGCCCATTGGCATTTTTGTAATGAGTGGTAATAATGAGTTTGAACTTTTCGTTTCAAAGAACTGATTCAACAAATGCGTTTCAGTTATTCGTTACATGCTCTAAAACGCTCCAATAAGCCATAGTTATGTTTACTTTTTTGATCAAGCTTTATGAATACGTTTTTTTATTGCAATTATAAGTGTCCCAGGTCAGTTCAAAGATCGGCTCATAAAATGAAGTCATTTAGGACCAAACCAAAATCTGCATTTAAGCAATTATAAAATTCATTAACACCAGGTGGTCTTCAGTTCAGTGAGTCTGAGATGTTAAATCGAGAACCTCATGTAGTCTCATGTAAGCAAATCTTTTGGTTCATTCGTTCAGACTGGTTTTGATTCACTGAAAAGATTCAAAATAACGACTCATATACAATGCATGTTATAGACAACTCTAAATTTTGTGAGGTTTATTTGCAAGTCAGTCTTGTTTCAAGGATGTCGAGCCAAAAGTTTGCCAAATGTTTTGTTTGTAAAGTGTGTAAATGCATCTTTGAAATCAATGGCACTTGCTCTGATGTTCTGATTCTAATGACATTCAGACATTTGAAGTGTCTTTTTTTAGTCAGGTTGTGAATATGACTTTATCTGAATCACACATAGATGTTTTGCACCACATTTGTTCATAAAGCCATGGTTCCTCATGACTCAGATTCGCGTGGCACTAGACATCACCAGCGTCTCCTGAAATCATCCCGGTGGCCTTCAGTTAATATTCCAGAGTTAACACAAATGCTTGGCCTCTCTCGGCCGATCCGTTGGCTTTCCTCTTGTTTGTATCCTTCATCTTTTATTGAGATCACTCGTCTCTAGCGGAGCCTCACGCAGCTGCTCCTCTGCGCCGCTTTCAAGCGCACTTCACAGCTGATTCTTATTGATGTTTGTCCGACTGTGTCCTTCACAACGCCACTAAAACAAAAAGGCTTTGAGAGGCAAGTTTGTCTTTCAGCGCACGCAGTCGTAGGAAGAGACGCATCTCTCTCTTTACCTCGTTCTCTCTCCACGTTATTACTTTCTTCATCAAGGCTTTTGCAAAAGCATTTATTATTACTGCTTGAGTATGAAGGGCAAAGAAATGTTGAATGTTAAAATGAGAGGAATTTAAGTTTCAATGATGTTTTTCAGGGAACATTTAAGATCAGGTCACAATGTTCCCATGGCTGTACACAGACAAAAACGTTAAAGTTTGTCACATTGGTGGTATCGGATGAAATATACACTCACCGGCCACTTTATTAGGTACCCCATGCTAGTAACGGGTTGGACCCCCTTTTGCCTTCAGAACTGCCTCAATTCTTCGTGGCATAGATTCAACAAGGTGCTGGAAGCATTCCTCAGGGAGTTTGGTCCATATTGACATGATGGCATCACACAGTTGCCGCAGATTTGTCGGCTGCACATCCATGATGCGAATCTCCCGTTCCACCACATCCCAAAGATGCTCTATTGGGTTGAGATCTGGTGACTGTGGAGGCCATTTTAGTACAGTGAACTCATTGTCATGTTCAAGAAACCAATTTGAAATGATTAGAGCTTTGTGACATGGTGGAAGTAGCCATCAGAGGATGGGTACATGGTGGCCATAAAGGGATGGACATGGTCAGAAACAATGCTCAGGTCGGCCGTGGCATTTAAACGATGCCCAATTGGCACTAAGGGGCCTAAAGTGTGCCAGGAAAACATCCCCCACACCATTACACCACCACCACCAGCCTGCACAGTGGTAACAAGGCATGATGGTTCCATGTTCTCATTCTGTTTACGCCAAATTCTGACTATAACATCTGAATGTCTCAACAGAAATCGAGACTCATCAGACCAGGCAACATTTTTCCAGTCTTCAACTGTTCAATTTTGGTGAGCTCTTGCAAATTGTAGCCTCTTTTTCCTATTTGTAGTGGAGATGAGTGGTACCCGGTGGAGTCTTCTGCTGTTGTAGCCCATCCGCCTCAAGGTTGTGCGTGTTGTGGCTTCACAAATGCTTTGCTGCATACCTCGGTTGTAACGAGTGGTTATTTCAGTCACTGTTGCCCTTCTATCAGCTCGAACCAGTCTGGCCATTCTCCTCTGACCTCTGGCATCAACAAGGCATTTCCGCCCACAGAACTGCCGCTCACTGGATGTTTTTTCTTTTTCGGACCATTCTCTGTAAACCCTAGAGATGGTTGTGCGTGAAAATCCCAGTAGATTAGCAGTTTCTGAAATACTCAGACCAGCCCTTCTGGCACCAACAATCATGCCACGTTCAAAGTCACTCAAATCACCTTTCTTCCCCATACTGATGCTCGGTTTGAACTGCAGGATATTGTCTTGACCATGTCTACATGCCTAAATGCACTGAGTTGCCGCCATGTGATTGGCTGCTTAGAAATTAAGTGTTAACGAGCAGTTGGACAGGTGTACCTAATAAAGTGGCCGGTGAGTGTAGATATATAGATAGACAGACAGATGATAGATAGATAGATAGATAGATAGATAGATAGATAGATAGATAGATAGATAGATAGATAGATAGATAGACAGACAGACAGATGATAGATAGATAGATAGATAGATAGATAGATAGATAGATAGATAGATAGATAGATAGATAGATAGATAGATAGATAGACAGACAGATGATAGATAGATAGATAGATAGATAGATAGATAGATAGATAGATAGATGGATGGATGGATGGATAGATGGATGGATGGATGGATGGATGGATGGATGGAT